TAATCCATAATTATGTCCCCACTGGATGCAACGAATCTGCAACGAAACGATGCTCGTTTATAATGGGTTTTCATGTTTTTGAATCATCGCTCCGGCCTGACAGGGCATCATCACAGTATGGTAGGGGCGTAACATTTCCGTCACACGCTTGAGGTATTCGGCCAATCATAACGCACTGGATAGCTGGCCAATCACAGCACACCTTGCTTTTCAGACCGATAAGCTTTGTTTTATCCTCCGTTTCAGAAAGGCGGGGCATAGAGGAGAAACAATAATGTACAGTATGGAGGAGAAGAATTGTTGAATGAATTTGATATTTTTGTTTTCTTTGCGCACAAAAAGTATTCTCATAGCTTTGTAAAATTATGGTTGAACCCCTGATGTCACATGGATTATTATATTATTATATACCGATGTCCTTGCTACGTTTCTGGACCTGGGAACATTTCAGACGTGCTGCAGTCTATGCAGGGTCTGATAGCTCTCAGATTTAATCAAAATATCTTAATTTGTGTTCCGAAGATGAACAAAGGTCTTACGGATTTGAAACAGGTGTGCCTCACACGTCTTGAAAAGTGAAGCTGCGGGCTCTTTGCTCGCCCCCTGGTGGCTGGCTGCAGTACAGGTCTTAAACCCCGCCCTCTCCATGTAAATGGAACTTGAGTCTAAATAAAAAAATAAATTACGCTTCTAATACAATTTTCCAAAAGATGGTTTTGGTCATTTAAGGTCTAGTTATCACGCTGATATACAGTGCACAGCATAAATGAGTACACCCCCTCTAAAACTTAACAAATTCAGCAATTACTCTTTACTTAGAAGACATGTTAGGGTTCTTTCGAGATGTAATGTTCCAACAAGCCTGCTTGATCAGTTACCAAAGAAGAATGCCAAAATTTATTCAGCAAAATAAGATTTTCTTATCAAAGTGATAATATTTTGTGTTGCAAAAATGAGTACACCCTCCTGAAAGTTACTAAATAAAACAAAAAAAGGCTATTTTTGATCAACAGGTAAGTATATTGAACCAAAACGTTTAAAGACAAGTAATTTCCTGACAATTAAAAGTGTTATATAGCCCACTGAATCATACTCAGACTTAATGCTGACAATAATGAAACCACTTGAGAGAGAACTGTCAGGAGATTTATTTCTTAGCATAAAAGAGGACAATGGTACAACAAGAACACCAAATTATTGTTTTAAGTGTGAAAATATAGCCGGGTGTGCCTCACACGTCCTGAAAAGTGAAGCTGCGGGCTCTTTGATCGCCCCCTGGTGGCTGGCTGCAGTACAGGTCATAAACCCCGCCCTCTCCATGTAAACGAATGGGACTTGAGAAAAAAAAAAAAAAAAAAATGTACACTTCCAATACAATTTTCCAAAAGATGGTTTTCATCATTTAAGGTAGTTGTTATTACTCTGATATATGTTCAATTGTTCGTTTTTGTGGTAAGTTTGATTTTAGCTAGTAATCTGATGCTATAAAAACGGGGCGTGTCGTTATGGTTGATTGGGTCTGCG